ACTTCCAAACTTATATTATAGAGGTAAGGTGCACTTCAAATCTAAGAGAAAAGAATGTTTTGAAGTTGAAAAAACTTTCACATTGATCATCTCGACCTCAAGATACATGGATATAAAAAAAAATTTAAATCATAAAAATAGAGTATCTTGTAATATGTTATTTAGGCCGTCTATTTTTAATATTTTCAAGTGTTTATAGATCTACTCGACATGCACTGTTTTGGGAATTTGAAATTTCATAATTAGGGTTGAACATTTCATAATTTTTCGACATTGGAACTACATCTTCTAATAAAATTTAGAAGTGCGATTACTTGGATAGTATAAGTTGGTACCCTATCCAAACCTCATATACACATAGAGATCACTCTCCTTTAACATTTTATTCATATTTTTTTATTTAATTTTAAAATACCGTTCAAAGTACATGCAACCAAGAGTTGGAATAGTTGAAAATTGGTAAATTATTAGGGGAAAGATTTTGGTCTAAGAACGGTAAGGGCCTTGAACTTTTCCTTAACCCATCCCAAGATGTATGCTCAACTTTACTTTATGGGGTGGAATATTAAGCGATCAAAAAATAACGTACCCATAAAATGAGTGCAACTACGATGGGGATGTTGAGTTGGATGAGTGGTAAGACAAGAAAGAATACAATTTAATATAAATATATTCGAAAGAATTTACGTGTGGCACCAACAAGTGATAAGACGATAGAAAATAGACAGGTGGGCTGGCCATGTCTGGCACAGACCCAGTACAATACTTGTTAGGATGTGCGAATTAGTTCAAGTGGAAGCCTACATAAAGGCAATGTGTAGGCCGAAAATGACATGGATAGAGGTAGTGAAAAAAGATATGAGGACTTATGGCCTCACTGAGAGGTATGACTCTTAATAGAGCAGAATGACAAATCAAGATTCATATAGTTTATCCCAATTAATTAAAAAAAAGCTTTGATGTTAATGATAATGATGATCAAAAAGAAAGCTTTATATGCGACTCCACTCGAAAAGGTTTTATAGAAAAAAGTAAAAATCAAACGTTGGTATGATATTGTGATATGAACGATCCCAGCCGTCCATTCAGACCGAATGGCTGAGAAGTGGGATCACATTTATATGTTGGTAGGGTCCAATAGAAAACTTTCTCAATTGTTAAATTGTTAAAACTTAAGGTACTGATAAATTTCCCACCTTATGCCAAACTCACTCTAATTTGCATAGACTTTTGTGTTCATACTTGTTTACATGGGGTCCAATTAAAATATGAAAAAGGACAAAAACGTCAAAAGAAGCACATCGTATACGCCATAGCTAAAAGGCCCCCTCATGACCATATAATACAAAGAGTTTATCTTTCTAAAAGGCAGCTTTTGTGGTTATTTTCAATGCAATGCGGTGTTATGCTGCTTTCAGCCTTTGGATGTGATCAAATAAACTTTTGGACATAATTGGAGAAAAAAATACGTAAAACAAAAGGCCAATAACTTAAAATATGTACTTTACTACTAAATACAAATTTGGGGGCCGAGGTGGTGTTATGCTGCTTTCAGCCATGGGATGGGATCAAATAAACTTTTGGACATATTTGGAGAAGAAGAAGAAAAAGGAAAACAAAAGGCTAAAACCATAAAATATGTACTTTACTACCAAATATAAATTTGGGGACCCATAATTAGGCTGCTGTTTGTTGGAACAGATACACTTTGTTGCTTTTTACATAGTTGAATACTAAAGTCGACAGCGGCTTCATACAATAATACCTTCTTGACCCATCATCATCATATATATTCGGGATTTATGAAATGATGTTGGAATTTTTTACGGTGGCTGCTTTGTGTAACACAACCATTTTTCTTTATCTGGGCATGGGACTGATAAGACTGGCTTGGGACCGGCCATGACGGAGTTTAACTCTTGATCCATGAATATGTTATAAATCCTCTTTGGGAGAAATGCTCCTTCACAATTACAGGTGCCACTTGGGTCGGGCCAACCTGATTGAGGTCTAGGTCCATCCTATACTTTTTAGGGATACAACATGTTGGGTCGAAATCAACCACACATAACCCAACCCATATATATATTATAAAATTATAAAATAAGGTATTTTTTTTATATATATTTCTACAATCAGACCTGACTTAACCAATTCATACCTACCCAGAAGTTTTTGGCCAATGTGATTATAAGAAAATAACATGAGACATGTTAAAGATGGGCGGTGATTTCTCCCAATCAAATGTGTGGTTCTGTGGTTCAAAATGCTTAGAGGAGTGATTAAAAAAATGTTGGATCATACCAAGAATGCCCAATCCACATATCTGCATTGGATCTTTGAAAGCCAACCGGAATCGGTTATCCAAAAAATATTAAAATATAAATAAAATAAAATAAAAATTAAAATAAAGGTTTATGAGATGGATTTAGAGGGTATCTTAGAATATATATACATCTATAGGAAAAGCCTTCCCAATGACTATAAGCGAAAACAAATAGTGATTTCGCCTACCCTCATCACCGTCCAAATTTCATCGCGTGGTCACGATTGTTTGGTAGTATTTTATTTTTTATTTTTTTTTCTACGAATTGGAATGACCTGAAATTTGGAGGGTATGTATAACTTACTGAGACGCATCTAATAAAAATGTAAAACAAATTATCCGCAAAAACAAATTGACTAAAATACTTGAA